AACATCAAGATCCAGACATTTTGATGAATAATAGGATATGGTATACTTCACCGACATAAGTCTAGCAGGAGTTGGCTCAAACCTTCTCAGGTGATTGGCAGTCCCATGCCCGACAATGTAATCGACTCGTGGACAACGAAAATTTCTAAAAAAAAAAATATATAAGTTTTGATAAACCCTTTTCAAGCAAAAACATACTTTCCACGAAACAAAATTTATAACTCTTCTTTGCATGTTTAAAATTTGTATGCATGTTAAAAAACATAAAACACAATTTAAAGCTGATTGTCCACCTGACGAATAACTGTTTAGGCTGGGAAATAACCCCCTAAGTGAGGTTCAAGACACCCTTCTAGACGAGTGGCGGGTTCTATACATTCGGGTGACAGAGTAGCCTTCGTGGACCCTCGAGAATAAATATACAGCTGAGCCTAGTCCCATACGAGTGCTTGCGGTCCCCCTCATCCGAATCTTTTTTCGTTTTATCGAAGCTTTGGGACAGGACACTCATGTTACTTTTCCTTTCTTTCGGGATTTCCCCAGGATTTTTGATGATTTTCTTTTACTTGAGTCTTTTTCGTTGATTCTCTCGAGTTTTCTGTCATGAGTCGTTGTTTTCTTTGATTCTCTCGAGTTTTCTGTCATGAGTCGTTGTTACACTCTTCTTCGGATTTCTTGGATGACGTTTTCTTCCGGACTTTGCTTTTGAGATGTATTTAGGCTTGTTATACTTAAGGAATATCAGATCTTACGGGCTTACATGTTTGCTTTACATTTTACAGTACTTTACTTTCCTGTTCCTACATGTATACCTGCTATTGTACTGTATAACATGTCATATTATTCCTGTTTTCTACCTGCTACTACTCTTCATGTACAGCATGTTATATCATTTCTGTTCTTACCTGCTACCGTACCGTACAACATGTTATATTATTCATGTTTCTACTTGCTATTGTTCTTCCTGTATAGCATGTTATACTGTTCATGTTTCTACCTGTTACTGTTCCACATGCATTCTACTGTTTGTTCCTGTATTGCACATTTATATTATGTAGCTTCAAGCATGTTTCCTTTTTGTATAGGATGTTTAGAGGACTACAACCATAGAGCCGTTTGATTTGACACTATAACTTGACACCCTAGAAAACTTGAACTCGTCATGTAGGGAAGCTTGGAGCTAGCGCGGTGGGCAGCACGACCATCTGCAACATCAGAACATGTCTTCCCCAGCAAAACCATTTCTTTTCCTAGAAACTAGACGGCAAACCATAGGATTTCGAGGTTGTTTGTTTAGCGCAACATAAATCCTCACTTTATCTATTAGGCCTTTGCACAGTCAGACTGTGCAATTTAAGTCCTAACTCATTCTAGGTTCCGAGGTTGTCGTCCGATACGACGTAAACCCTCATATCTTTCAGGCGATTTGTGTGACTATGTCACGTAAATATAAGCCCTAATTAAATAAAATTGGCTGGATGAAACATTTTAATAATTTTTTTTCGAAACTGAAGCCAAACCATAAGATAGACTGGGAAGCCACCGAGACTCGCCTCAGGATCTATGACCTCTCCTAGTTTCTCTTCATTTGGATTCCTCAACATTGTTCTAGGTTCGAGCATTTCCCCTTTCACACCTCTTTGTCCGATTTCGTTGAAAAGTCCTATCATTTTGACTTCTTTGAAGATAATATTCCCTGATTTTTATTGAGTTTTCTTGGGTGACTTCGGTCATTTAAGATGTAATTAACTATAGAGGTTTGCCCTTATAGGAAGCTTTTCCGAACCCAACCTAAAATAAACCCTATTTAATTCTTTGTATTAAATAGGAAACTTATCGGCAAATAAAACGGTTTCGCAGACCAAACGGATGTCATATGTTTTCTTAGTTTATTTGATCGAGCCTCATCCTTAAGTCGTGTATAAAAAAATATGAAGTCAGTTTGATTTCCTATTTTTCCAAAATTATATATATATGTATGTAAATTAAACGTCCTTCCGAAGCGGGCGACGGGACTTCATTTCCAGCGACCGACAGCTTCTTACGGACAACTTTTGAACAAACGACCTTTAAACTTTTAACCTTTCCCCCCTTTTTAAGCGCTGACATGATCCTCAAACAGTCTCAGTTTTTTCTAAAAGGATGCACATGGTTATATTAAATTTTTTGTCCATTTACATGCATACCATAGAATTTCCATTTATTTACTTATCTAATACTAAAACATTTATATTTATATGCATATCACTCAAATCTTTAATATCACATCAAAAATACCATTATTACTATCTTTAAAAATGAAGTAGGTTTATAACACCAAAGTGTTATAAATGTAAATATCAGACTTTGGGTGTTAGATATGTAAATACAAAAGAATTGTGTGTTATGTATGTAAATTTCCCGTTCCCTTGTATTCTTTTTTGTAAATCATAAAGAGGCAGAAGAAGAAGGGGATGACATTAATGACGTTAATAAATTTCATTTGGATGGTGCGTTAGAAATAATGGATGTCTTGTCCCTCACTCAACTAGTGAACTATCAAAACATTTTACTAAAGATATTTTCCTCTGAGTTGGAGAAGATTTTCCTTGAAGTATGGGACATGTTGGAACTAAAGGAGTCAATGAGGAATGCTCCTCGAGAATTTGGAAGTTATTTCATATGTTGAAAATGTTCCTATGATAAATGTTTCAGCTTTTGCTCCATATGCTGTGAATTTAGATGAAATTACTAATGAGTCATCACAACTAACAAAAAAAAATATTTACACACATATCACTTAATTCTTATGTATTTGCATATCTAGCACATATACTTAAATTTTTTCATACATGCCAACTTACCTATGCATGAAAAGGTGTAAAAGTTAAAATGATCGTATTTTTGATGTGCTACGAAAGATTTGGGTGATATAATTGTAAAAGTAAAGCTAGTTGTTGGATATGTAAATACATAGGAAACCGGTTGAGCTTAGGGGGGCCGACCGAACCCTACTTGGGTTAGTCCTGCCGCCCAAGGGGAGGGATTTCCCTCCTCCTAGTTATCCTCTATTATAAATATGTTATTTCTGTTTTAGGGTTTAGTTTCCATTGTCATCCAGGTTCTCCCTAACTACAGTCGTATCCAACGACAGGTGGTGCTTCGGTTGTATCTTGCTCCAAGATGGTGACGATCTCCCTGCATCCCACACTATTCCTTCGCTCGTTCAATGCCCTTCCACTTGCAGCCCGGCCTTTTCCTGTTTTCTCTACCTCCAGCATTAATCTTCCCTCTTGCCCTTGCTGCTGCCCCATACAACCCCACCAACCTGTGCTGAAACTCCGTTCCTACCTCCCTGCTCACCGCCACCAGCTCCTCCCGCGCTCGTTACAGACCTGGTTGCTGCCAACCCATCAACACGGCTTCCATTGATGCCATCACACCATTCCAGCAACCACAACCTCCAATCACCCCCTTATCCGCCGTCCAGCTGCCATTTAGCCCCATGCCCAGGGTGTTGTTTGTGTTTGTTGTCATTTATTTCCTTGCTTTGAAGAGTCATCACTGCAGCCTATTTGAATTTCAAAAATAATATTTGCATTGCTTTATCGTTCGGGTTAAACTCTGATAGGAGTGGGTAAATGCCCCAACAAAACAAATTTAGATATCCTGCATCAATCGCTGCTGCCTAGATATGAAAATGATTCAAAAGACTTTTTCTCAACTTCAAGTTAAATGATCTAAAGAACTTCTGAAGTATCCATAAAAATTGACTGAATTTCATTATGAATTAGCTATGGCCATAGAATCCAGAGCAGTGTACTTTTAGAATAGAATGAAGACAAAGTATTTGGAGATTGGCATACTTTTTTGTTTTGCGCCTTAGATATCTCCTAGCTGATGCTTTGTTGAATTCCAGTTTTTCTTAAATTTGTTCTAGTACATCGAAGAAGATAAAGTTTATGATTCGAAGGAAATTATAGTTTCCAAAGCTGTATCTAGCTGGAATGAGAACTGAGGAGTTATATCGAGATCTTTAAGTTGCAGTTTTTCATTTAGAGAGTAGTTTCAAGATACTGGAAAATGATTCTCCTTTCATGTAGTCCAAACCGTATTTTCTTAATAAAAAATCTTTCAGGTATAGTTTAATCTTTTGGAATTGTGTTTTTGCTTTTTTTATTGAAGTGTAATTCTCTCTTTGATGAAATGAAAATGTATTATTTTCTCTAAAAATTGCGTGTTGCGCTAGGTATGTAAATTTCCCGGAATATTATTGCTTCATGCAGTCGTACCATAACTGTTGATACTCTTATGTGTGCTTTTGAATATGTTTTATAGTTGTTTATGAAACTAGCTTCATGCGAATCTTTTAGAAGACTTGCATTCCATAATCTCAAATATTTTCAACCACTGTACCCATTCAAATTTGTCTCTTGATTTTTGGATTGGGACATTTACATACACACCACCAAATTCCTAAGTACGTACATATATAACACCTAAACTTTATTTTTTACATTTACACCACTCACATATTTCATATCACATAGAGAAGGCCATCTTTTTAACTTTTAAAAGGTGAAATACTTCTCTTAATGCATAAGTAAGGTGGCATGTATATACAAATTGAAGTTTTGTTGTTAGATTTGTAAATACATAGGAAATGAGTGGTATGCATGTAAGTTTTCCATTTCAAATCAACAAAGTTTATTTTATGTCAGCATTCTATAGCTGTTGACTCGCATATGGAGTTCCCTCTGCAGAATTAATAACCAGAAAATTTTACATTGAGCGTTTCTTACATCAATAATATAATGCGCCAAAAAAAAAACTGAAAATTCACACTACATAAATAATTTCTCCAATTTTACTGCAACTATTGTTCTGGCGGCATTAGTGTTTGTTCTAAGCCATTGCTGAGTAGATATGGCAATAAACCCAATTAGAAATGGCACAAATATTGATTTATTTAGTAATGATTCATGTCTATTCTGTGAAATTATTGAATATTAACTGCTCAGGATCCGAGACTTTTAGTAATCTGGAAGCTGAAAATATAGAGAGGGTGAGCAACCAAATGGAGCAACTTTCTGAACTTTCTGAATCTCCACAGCAAAAGTGCAGGTCTGGTAGGTACAGCTTGCGCAAAAGTTTAGCTTGGGATAGTGAATTTTTCACTGGTGAAGGTGAACCTCATTGTCAACTTAGAGTCCTTATTTGGGGTGTAAACGAATTGAGTCGAGCTCGAGCCGCCCTCGGCCTGTTGATTAATTAATTGAGCTCGAGCTTACTTTTACAAGTTCAAGCCAGCTCATGAGCCGACCTTTTTTATTATAAAGAGAGAAAATAATATAAATTCAAACTATTTTTATAATAAATTGACAAATAAAATAAGTAATTAAAAGAAATAATAATAAATCACTTGATATAAATATAAATATAAATTATAAAATATTATTTTTTAAATATTTTTAATAATTTAAAGATAAATTTTGATTTTTAATATTTTTTATTATATTTTATATTATTTACATTTTAAATAGGCCGGCTCACGAGAAAACTAGTCGAGTTGGGGCTGGCTTAAGCTTGGCTTGCTAGCCCTCGCCGGCTCACGAGTCCGCTTGGTTCGCTTACACCCATAGTTATTTATTGTAAGAGTCCATAATTTAAGCGAATCACTTTGAGACTTTACTTTTTGGTAGGTGTTCTCGATCATGAAGAGCTTGCAATCTACAATTCCACGTATAGCAAGGCTATTGGACTCAAGTTACCGGGAATTCACGAGGAATTTAGAAAATCGGTGGAGTCAACCTCTACATTGGGTAGTGAAAGTCGAGCATTGGAAAAGCTTGAAGTTGATTTGCTTGAGAATCTTAGAACTTCTAGTAAGAGGATGCTGGTTGCCTCAAATCAAACTCCCAATAATGAACAACTCAAGCCAGATAAACCACACCCGATAAGTATGCCATTTTGATATTTTGTTCTCTAAATTCTTAGTTTTACCATTGTAAGATGGGACTTGGCACATCTCTGCTGTTTATTACTTCTGCATGATTTCCATGGTCTAATGATCAGTTTGAATTTTACTAAAATGGAGCTTTGCTTTCACAGGTTTGAAGAAACTTGATTTTTCATCTCAAACCAAGGTGTGCTGCTTATTCCATTCTTAGTTTTTTTATTAATATTTTGAGTGTTTAATTTCTTTAGTTGTTTGTATGTTTGATTAAAACCCCCAACTATAATTGAAAAACATTGCAACATCAGGCAACATCATGAGAGTACTACAGTTTTTTTTATTTGAAATTGGTGAGCACCTTTGTAAGGGCTTAGCAATTTGTGCACGCACGTATGTGCGCACTATTTATTTTAATATGCATTGTTTGTACCTTAATATTTCTAGCATAAGCTCTTTCAACTAAACTTCATTCATTTAGAAAGTTGTTTTCTGTTTAGCTCTTGCTTATAAGCCCCAAGCTTTGTAACTTATGCTCATTGCATGATTTGTTGATATTTTTGGCTCGTAGGGCCTGATCTTCTAGATAAAGTGAGCTACTAGAAAGAGATTCCTTAACTCTGGGAATAGGGAAACTTCAAATTTACTGGCATAAAAATTAAGTACCACATACAACACTAAGAACACCAGTTGCCGATCCATTTCACTTTCTAGGACCAAGGGAGAATCCATTTCACTTTCTAGGACCGAGGGAGAATTGTTATTGTTAATGACACCTCCGGGAAAAGAATAGCAGAGAATTACTCTATTAACAATATTGGTGGATTCCCAACATCAGCCAACCTCTTAGTATATGCAAATAAGCAACTCTTGACCTTTGTTATGTTTCTGATTTGTTGTACATAGGTATGTTCAGGTGCGGACTCAAAACATGGGCCACATTGACATCCTTGAATCTGGTCGCACTAGTGAGGTAATAAGAATCCCTCAACAATGTCCAAATGATGCTAAATAACTTGCAAAAAAAGACCCTTGAGCTGTCCTATTATCCATATGTTTTTAAGGGCAACAGGACCCTTTTGGGAGCTTCTTGCGGTCTTTTCGCATTCTAACTCTTTGCTAGATTTCTCAAAAGATTGATGCAGTTCCGTCAAGCCCATGACGGGGTTTTGCTAAGCTCAATTTTTGTTCAATATAAAATTAATAGTCCCACCTCATAGAAACTATGATTTTGCCCCTCATAAATCAGCCAAAAGAAGGGTTCATTGTTCTATATTGCTCGTGAAAGCAAGGGGTTTTGCCATTTCTTTTAAAATTGGGATTGTTTTTTAATGAGCTTAAGAGAGGACCACTAAGAAAGCCTGACTAGAATGCCACATTGATGCCCAATTGGAGATCATGGTCGAAGCTTAACTACATCATCTAAACTAAGTAAAATGTGGTTTTCTATAATCTATTCTCATCCCCTCATCACTTTTTCTTTTTACATTGCCTTGTATGGCCGATTTTGAGCTCATTGGATGTCTTATTACTTGGTAGAGTCAAAACCACCATATGGCGAGGATAAAGGATCTACCTAAATGATTGAATTTGTAAATTGGAATGAAAAATCCATGAGACGACTAGAGAGAATTTAAAAATGAAAAATGTAGCATATAAAACACTTGAAATTTAGCTATACAAATTTATTGAATTGCAATGCTATGAATATAGAACATGACTTGATTCAAAATGGTGTGGGGAGGAGGTCAAGCAAAGCTCCAGTCTCCTAAACTATGAGTGATGTAAAATTTACAAATAATAATTTATTAGTATAATATTTCAACCACTCAAAAATTACTGGACTTAAGTGAGTCCCTCTTTGTTGTTGGAAAAATGGGATAAAATCTCTAAATCCTATGGAATGCTCCAACTAGTGTAGTAAAATGCAAGAACACTTACAACATTAAAATAAGCATAAATATTCTTTAGTATTCAAAAACTCTTGGACTCATGAGCATCCCTATTTGAGGTTTGTTGAAGGGCATGCAATTTCAGTTTCCTCTAACTAATGGGTTAAATTTATATATTTTGCTCAACCATATCATATAAAAAAGAAAGAAAGGTCAAACATTTAAAGATAGACATTGAAGTCCTCCTTAAGCAAGTACCAAAGATGAGAGCTTCTCAAAACATGTTAAATGGCAATTTAAAATTCATCAGGCATTTCCGATTAATTTTCAGAACTACATATCAATCAACCTAGCTTAGTGAACACCATATGGAGTAGCAAACAGATAAAGCTTGTTGATCTCATTTTTAGTGAGGTCTAGTTTTCTTCTTAAGGTTTAGGGTCTAGCCTTAAGATTCTACCTTTGACTATCTTATAGCCTTAGAAATGAGACCCACCTCATTATAGGAGTCCAATCTACTTCTTTATCCTTTTGGAGTTTCGCATGTGTGGTCTCAGTCTCTAACACTTAGGAGGTTGAAACCAACATGAGGAAACCTAAAAGGAGTTCCTATAGGACCATTAAGTCCTAGGATTGCTTTATGCACAATTTGCACTTTCACGCTCACAATCTTCACAATTCGGACTTTCGACACATTTAATTATTGCAATTCACATCACCTACGCCTCTATGTGTTGCATAATTAATCGAAACTTAAATAAAATTTTGAAACGATCGATCATGGACTTGAAATTTCGACGAAAATCGAATTCGATGCATTTTTTATCTAATCGTCGATGAGGTTGTTCGAATGGTACCAGATGACGAAATGGACTGCGCTGGCGCGTCTAGAACGTCGATTTTAGCCGGGAGAGACACCCATTTTGATATGGTTTCGTGTGGGTTGAATTGTGTCTGAATCGACAAATTTTAAGTGAAATAAAAAAAAAAGAATAAGTTATAAAAAAAGAAAACCTAATTAAATCCCTAATTTCTAAACCTACGCTCACGCCTCCTTCCCGTTCACAAACGACAGGCCCTAGGTCCCCTCTTCTCGTACTCTGCAAAGCTTCCACCTACCCTTGCCACGCTCCCTGCCGCTTGGGGAAGGGTTTCTGGTTGTTGAAATTTTGGAGAGGGAGGAGTTTCTGCCAAAATTCTGAGTGATTCTTCCCTCTTCGTTGGTCTTTTCTTTGTGTGCTTGGAACTTTGGTTTTCTCTATTCTCCTTTGAGCAAAAAAAGAGGGGCAATTTCTGTTGTTGAATCGCTGTTGGTTGTGTGTTGTTGTGGGATATAACCCCCTTGTACCCCCTGAATAACCCCTGACGTACGCAACGTTACGTACGTCTTATGTACACAAATATTTTTTGTGTTAGTGAGCTTATTCTAATTATGGACTTGAGGCAACATGGAAGAAAAACGGAATTCAGGAGCTCGTATGGTTTGAACTTATCCTTTTTTGCTGCCTGGCAGAATTTAAGTTAAATATTGCCTAAGGCTTGCTTGAATCCCGACATTAAACAAAATGTGAAATCATCGATATCTTGTATTTTTTTTATTGTTGTTTGGAAACATTCAGTTCATTTCTTTTATAAACCTTTCTTAAATTCTGCTACCTGGCAGCTCTCGAAAGTGTGAATGCTCCTGGTTCCCTCTGTGGGTTGCATAAGGTGCTATGTGCATAAATATGAAAGTTTGGGTGTGAAATATGTGAAAGATGAGGTGTATGGCCACTTACTCTAGCTTTTTGCCTGAATTTTGACCAGACACCTTCTACCTGAAGTGGTCCTTTGATTTTATGGCGAGATCGCAAGTCACGGTGCATATTTCTAATATAAAAAAAGGGGGGGGGGGCACTTTTTATGAGTCAAAACAGTGATTCATTCTTGTGGTTTCTGGAATGCATATTTGCTCGTTACTTATATATACACATGTCTAGTACCTGAAATTTGCGTCCTACACCAGGCTTTGAGGTGGCTTGAGTTGTACAAAGTAGTTGGGGTTATTTATTTATTTATTGTTTCTTTTGGAGATCCTCAACACTGTTCTTAGTATTGATTTCATTTGTTGCATCACCTACATATAAAATCAAAGGCTTGGAATGGGGCTAATTTGGGCTGCAGTTTTCTGCCCTGTTTTGGCAAAATCTGGGCTGCAGTTTTGCCCTGTCTTGGTGATGTGTAGGTTGCGGATTTTGGCTTGTTTTTTGGCTGATTTAGGCTGCCGATTTGCCTTGTTTTGGATGAGGTGTTTGCAATTTGGAAGGGTTTGGGTGGGGGACTCCTGGCTCGCTTATTTGGAGTTTAAATATGTGCTATCTTGGAGGGTTAAAATGCTATTTCATTTGGGAAATGTGGGGAATCACAATGGTTTGGATTTACGAAAGTTTGGGGAGCTTCTAGGATCATGATTTTTGGGGAATTTCAAATGAGCCTTTCAAATGCACATTGTTAGATGTGGGGATTTATTTTAGATTCAGTTTTGAATGTGGCTTTGAGGGTAAATCCATCCTTTACTATTTTCGTATTTCAAATGGATCAATCCCTCCTCTTTCTCATCCCATTTTTTCTTTTTTTGCTTCTTGGTTTGGTTTAGGTGCTTATGTTCGAAGCATAAGCGCACATATATAGCTCCCGCTATAGATGAATCATCAAACAAGACTGTAAGTAGGTCGATTTCAGGGTTCAAGGATGATGATGAAAAAGTCATCTAGGTATGTGCGAGAGGTTCTAGCACAATCTTGACTCAGTGACTTTGAGAGAACGAGGGATTGACATTACCGCATCTCTAACACTTAGTAAAAAGTTACCACTTGTTTTAACAGACAGTGAGAAGTTCTGGCCTATCAATAACTTACTCATTAACTTTATAAAACATGAAAATTTCATCAAGTGATATATATGTACACACAATTAAAAAAAAATCTTTCAAGTGCATAACAAATCAAAATTTCTTTTGAAAAATGAAATCATTCCTAAATATTTTCTAAAAATTTCATGGGTCAGTCATATGAACTAGGTTAGGAATTAATCTATTTTGTGACTGTTAGGTCAGTGACCTTTTACTTAGTGTTGGATCACACATGCATTGTATTGACTATTTTGTTAGGGCCCTAGGGTTTTGATTTTGACCCAAGGTCTTGATTCTGAGCCCACCCTGTCCCGAGTGCTTACGGTTTTCTCCGGTGTTCCGTGCATTTCCCGCGGTTTTCTTTGAGCTTTCGTGGGTCACTTCTTGTTTTTCTTTGAGTCTTTCATGAGA